TTACCTCTGTTTGCTGTAACTTTGAACCTAAGGCTAGAGGGGGTTCCTCTGGGCTCTTTAAGTTTGATTACTCTGTAAAGTTATTTTCTATCTGATTTTACAGAGATGATTTTTACCTTTTTCTTTAATTAAAAGCCTTCTTTTTAAGAACCTGATTGATTTTTCCTTGTTTTTAGATCCAAGGGGGTTGGATCTTGATCCACCAGGAGTTGGTGGGAGAAAGGATGGGGGATGGTTAATTTCTCCTTGTTTTAAGATCCAAGGGGTTTGGATCTGTATTCACCAGGGAATTGGTGAAGAGTCTCTCAAGGCTACCCAGGGAAGGGAATTAGCACATTGGGAGTGGTGGCAGCGGACCAGATTTAAACTGGTAGTTAAGCTTAGAAGTTTTCATGCAGGTCCCCACATCTGTACCCTAAAGTTCAGAGTGGGGAAGGAGCCTTGACAGCACCTTTCTGTATATCAGCTGCCAGTTAACTGTTAACCAAACATATAAGTAGGCCCCTACCAAATTCATGATCCATTTTGCTCAATTTCACTGTCATAGGATTTTAAAAATTGCAAATTTCATGATTTCAGATATGTTAATGTGAAATTTCATGGTGTTCTAATTGTAGGGGTCCTGACCCAAAAAGGAGTTGTGGGGGGTTGCGGTACTGCTACCCTTACTTCTGCGTTGCTGCTGATGGTGGCAGTGCCTTCTGGGCGGCCGGAGAACAATGGCTGCTGGCCAGGAGCCCAGCTCTAAAGGCAGAGCCACCGCCAGCAGCAGTGCATATGTAAGGATGGCATGGTATGGTATTGCCACCCTTACTTCTGCACTGCTGCCTTCACAGCTGGGCCCTCAGTCAGCAGCTGCTACTCTTCAGCTGCTCAGCTCTGAAGGTAGCAATGCAGAAGTAAGGATGGCATGGCATGGGTTTTACTTCTGCGCGGGTGCTGGCAGGGCGCCCTCTTCATAGCTGGGCACCCAGTCAAAAGCCACTGCTCTCCAGCCTTTCAGCTCTGAAGGCAGCGCAGAAGTAAGGATGGCAATACCATGACCCCTGAAATAACCTTGCGACCCCTCTGCAACTCCCTTTTGGGTCAGAGTCCCCAATTTGAGAAACGGATTTCACGGTCCGTGTCGTGTTTTTCCATGGCTGTGCATTTGTTAGGGCCCTATGTATAAGCAGACAAGCACTGGGCCCAATCCTGCAGGCATTTACTTATGTGAGTAGCCATTAGCCATACAAAGAGACTCATTGAAATCAATGGCAGTTGGGACTGTTTGCGTAAAGATAACTTACATAAATTAGGATTTTGTTACTTTATGTATTTAAAAAACAAAACTCAACAGTAATAGGTTAGAACAGTCTAATAAATAAACTCCTAAGTGTCTGGGACAGAGGAGTTTATGATCAACTCTTCAGAGTGTGACTGTGTCTCTAGAGATGAGCTAAGAATAAAATTTAATAATGAAAATAAAAAACAAAGCCAATTATGAATAGCTACTGTAACTAAAAGAGTGTATAACTACTATTAAGATTAATGTATGTAGGATTACAGAAGAATTCTAAACTAACAAGCAATGAAGCTTGATACAGTATCATTTTCCCAATAGAGTATTGGTTCAGGACAAAACATCAGCAGGAGGATTTGTTGTCCCTGCTTCCCACTAAGTAGCTACACTCAAGGTTCCAGAGGAATTGGTGATTCCTGCATGGGAGCAAGAGGTCACAGAAGTGGTGGTGAGGTACCCAAAAGCTTTTGCAAAGAACAATTCTTTGCTACAATGCAATAAGATCAATGCAGAGGTGGTGGTGCTGGGTTCTGATCTGAAGCCCCAGAAGCAATACAGATATGCCAAGAATGCTAAGGAAGGGATCAAAGAGACCATTGATGCCTTTCTGAAGGAGAAGTATTGGTGGAACCCGTTAGTCCATGTAATTCACCAATATGGCTTGTGCTAAAAGCTGACAAGAAGACCTGGAGGCTCACAGTGGACTATCGAGAGTTTAACAAGGTAGCTCCCCAGATGGTGCCGGTGATGGCAAAGTTTCAGAAGGTTATGGTGGCAATTTCAACAGGTGCCATGTGGTTCACTGTATTGGATTTATATATAGAACTATACCATCTTTAGAACAAAAGGTGACCTTGTTATGGCTGTCAGGAAGAGTGACACTGTGGGAGCTCCAATATTAGTGATACCTGTGTGTTTAAGAAAAGAACTTGTTGCATTGGCTCATAGCTGGGACATTTTGGTATAGAGAAGACAGTCAATAGAATGTTGACCGTGGGATGGTGGCCTGGTTATGTGAGGGATGTTGAGCATCACATCCACAACTGTCTACCCTGTGCAGAGAACAACCCTGTGATAGCAAGGTAGTGAAGGGACACTTGCTGCACCAGGTCATAGTAGGTCCATGGTCTAGGTTGCAAATTGATTTTATAGGCCTGTTGCCTCAGGCCGAGTGAGATAACAAGTACTGTCTGGTGGTGATAGATGCTTTCTCAAAGTGGGTGGAGGCATACCCAATGAGAAACAACACAGCCAGTGCTATGGTCAAGGTTTGGTCTACCTGATGTAATCGAGCAGACCTTTTCCAGGTTTGGTCTACCTGATGTAATCGATTCAGATTAGGGCAGAGGTTTCATATTGCAGGTCACCCTCAAAGTTTGGATTTAGTAAAACAAACCAGTAGAACCCTAACGACTGCATTGAGGAAGATAGTGAAAGAATCAGGTAAAGATTGGGATAGAAAGCTCCCACAGATTCTCATGGCACAAAGGTCAATGGTAACTTCGCACAGCTTTACACCTCACGAGGTCCTGACAGGTAGACTCATGAAGATCCCAGAGCAGTGGTGGGTAGGTGAATTCTACCTGAGGATTATCAACCATGGGTTCTGATGGATTAGTTCATGAGTGAGTTGTTGGATTCCATCAGTAAGCTCCAGAGACAGGTTGTGATTAACCTGAAAGCGAATAGAAAGCTAGTGGACAAACAGCTGGGGAACACTTTGAAGGTAACTGAGTGGAACATTGGGGACAGAGTGCTGTATAGGTTTTACTCAGAGAAAAAACATGTATTGAGCCCCAGGTGGCTGGCCCCTGTTGTTATTGTTAATAAAGAAAGTCCCACCGTTTACCAGGTTGAAATTAAAGGGAAAAAGAAGCAGGTCTTAGAGTGGTTTCACTCTTCCCAATTGGCTGAGCCTCTGGAGGTTTTTCGCCTTCCTCCGCAGCATGGGGCAGGGATCTCTAGCAGGAGGGTCTCTGCCGATTGAGGTCACTAATAACAGGATTGGGGACTTCAGCAGCAGAGTCCAGGGAAGGGGCGGGGATGGTTTTATGGCCTGCAGCGTGCAGGGGGTCAGACCAGATGATCATAATGGTCCCTTCTGACCTTAAAGTCTATGAGTCTATGAGTCTATGAAGAGCTGGAAGGGCCAATAAACATGTAGAGGAAAGAAGAGGTGAGCTCTGTCAGTACTACTTGCCCAGGGGGAAAGCAGAGGCTTCTACGGTATGAGTCCCAGTAAGCTCTATCAGTGCTAAATATAGTAACCCATCCATTTTCTTTCTTTGTTTTCTAGGTGCCACAGAAAAATGCTCTGCTGTATTTGTTTATGTCTATGGCCCTGCATTTTGGAACTGCAGTGATTGTTAACACTGGTGACCATTTTAGTTGTGAAGCTAATAACAGTTATGTAATCAAAGGAATGTCTCTTCATCTTAAGGGCACCATAGCAATATACGCATATGAACTACTGAGCAATTGTTATGTGGTCTGGGAAGACAAGTCTAGTGGAAGGACTATGACTGCCTTCACGGTAGACAACTGAGAGTCAAATGTAACCCTATAAGATGTTAATGGGGATACGCTTGCATCTGCGTATAGATTGGATGTTGGATGCAAGTGAGTAATTAGTGATACCTTTCTCACTGGTTGCACTCTGCAAGTGGCAGCAGACAATGCTTCCCTTTGTTCATATGTGAAAACAAATGTGAATAGTTGAATGAAAGTTGGGGTACACACTACTGATATTATAAGCAATGTCCAATATCAAATAAGAGATGTAGAGATTAATTTGTATACCCCTGTTCAAATGTTTACTAGACACATGCAATGTATCAGCTTCACAAACGTTAGATACTTTGGTTCTCAGAATAAGAACAAGTTTTGTGACTATGGAAATGTTACATTCAGTGTTAGCTGCACAGGTAGCATCGATGTAGACGTAAATGTAAACGATACAGGTAAATGGGTTTTCACGGGCCTGTATGGTGTCAGGAAGGTCAAAAAAGTTATTGTTGTTCCTAGACCATATAAAAGTTATATCGGGCCTATGGTGGTTAAGAGGGATGTAAAAAGACTACTGCTGATCAATTCTCTTTACTCCCTGAAAAAAAATTATAATGCCACTTCAGTTAGATATCTCTGCAGTACAGTATAGGTGTGTACCGTATGTAATGCCATTCCCAGTGGGATGGTGCTCCTGGCTGGAAAGCGTCACGATGAGGAACTCTAGACTGAGCGAAAGAGACATCCTAGTTATGATCCTAGGAGGGGTGGGCACTGCCCTAGGTGTTCTTAACACTATAGATAAGGAAATCTTGGCTAGCAAGAGAGGGGCTCTAGGCGCAGATATAGCTTCCCTATCACATCCACTGACAGCATCCCTACATCAATTAAGTGTGATGCAATATAGAATTGCTAGTGTCATGCCAGGATGGTTAAGGCTCCAGAAGCAGGATACTGCAATCTGCCTGGATACTGCTGGCAAATCTGCCCAGTAACCAGAAAAAGTGGGAAAGGACATGTGATCAGTGTGAAAATCTATATAAGGCCTTGACACAGAGAGACTGGTTGCTGTCCATCCTAGTGGCAGCCTGTGTCTAAGTCTCATCGGGGGGAAAGCAAGGCTAGCTTGTTAGTACTATAGGACTAGGGGAAAGCAGGGGTAGCTCTGGTAGTACTGAAGGAGGTCTGAGAAGGAGAAGACAGAAGACCCGTGTCACTTACCATTGTTCCTGATGTCCTTGTCGGAGGTGTTCTTGAGCTGTGGTTCCTGGGTTCCTGGCGACACTTTCTGTTGTCCACTCTTGTTTTGGGGTTTGGGTTCAGGCTTCATGCCTCTGTTGTGTTAAACCTATTAAGTGGTTTATTAATAAAATCCCTTTTCTATTTAAGTATACCTCTGTGATCGTTTTCACTGCTGGGAAGGTTGGTGGAGGTGGGAGGCTGACAGTGATAGATGCTGGGGGAGGGAGGTGTTCCTAAACTGGGAGGGTCTGATAGTTTTTGATTCCTAACTGCCCAGGCAGTTCAGGAGGAGTAAAGTGTGTAACTCTGAGTGAATTGAGTAACACACAATGTGTAGCATCTTGATCCCATTTTTAACCAGAGCTACTCTTACATTTCTTGAATAAACAGTGATGTGGTAGGTGAAATAGTAAACCGCAGAAAATTTGCAGGTAAATTTCCCAGTAGCTGGGTTTGGCTAATGGTTTGGCCATTATACATCTCCATGTGAAACTTGATTGGAATATGGGCAGGGGGGAAGTTTAATAGCAACTGTATGACCTACATTCAAGGCACTTCTTGGCATGAGTGGGGTATCACTATGTTTCTTTTGTCCCCTTTCCAGTCCTTTTCCCCCTGAACTCCTGGATTATCAGACCTCCAGTAACTCATTTAGGATCTGAATTACCAATGGAACCCAGCAAACCAGTTACAACTGAATGCCGAATTTCACCCTTCATCCCTTTTGGGCCCACGGGACCAACTTTTTATCCTCTTCTGTCCTTACAGTCTGAGCTCTCCTTTTTGACCTTTGTCCTGTACAGTTCCAGCAATTCCATTTGGTCCCAGTTGCCCAGGTCATCCTCTCCTTTTGATCTCCTTTGTTTCCCTTCTCTTCAACTCTGTCATCAGTTCCTAAATGAAAAAGGAAGGACATTTTCTTATAATCGTACACCAGGTTACCGAGGCACATCACTAAGTTTGAGCACATAATTTGTAGATATTGAAGAATTGTTTCTGCACAGTACAGTGAGGAGTGTCACACATAAAAGTTCAAGATAAAAAGTAATGGCGAACTTCCTCCTGCATTAATGAGAGATCAGCTGCACAGCTAGCTAGTGACAGGAATAACGGCAAAGAAGGGAGTGTGCAGCTGAGTACTTCATTCATGCTGAGGATTGCACTGAACGTCCTAGTCACCTCAAACACAAACATTCTCTGCCCATACATTCTTTTTTACCCTATGACTTTCAGAGTAAGGGAATTGGCTCATGATAGGCTTGAGACTTCCATTCAGGAGGACTACATATAGCACTCGGTTGTTCTGTGTTTGTACAGTGCCTTGCACTATGGTGCCCTGATCAGTGATTGGGCTCCCTATATGTTACCTTAATACAAATAATACATTATTATTTCTTCCTGCATGTACCCTCCTTTTACACTTGCAATGAAGCACAGCAATCTTGAACAGCCTCCTGTTTATTGCACAAGGACTTCCCGGATCAGGGTCTCAGTGCTCAGCCTTACTTGTTCACGTCTAGCCTCTGCACATACTGTACTTTCTCCCTGCCCGGTACATTATGGGCCTGATTCAAAGCCCATTGAAGGTCATAGGATGTTTTCCATTGACTTAAGGGGCTTTGGGTCAGACTATTTTATTTAAGCATCAACTTATTTTCATTTAAAAGTAAGTCAAGTCATGACAAGGGGCTTGGCCAGTGGTGTCATAACAACATACTGTCCTGTTAGGCAGAGTATACAGATCTCAGGCAGACATTCAGACTCCTGTTCCATGGACCTAGTAAACCTCAATTCTGTAACTGTTCTATGATGGGCAAATGTTGAAACAATCTTTACCATAATCTCAAGGGAGCTCATGAAATGGTGGGATAGCAAATTATGAGCAATCAGCCCAGGAATGATTAAAGGAAAAAGAGGCTGTCCTGTATTAAAAGGATGGATGTGATCGTACATGAGCCAAGGTAACTATCCTCTTCTCCTTCACTATTCAGTGGGGCTTGAGAGCACTTATTTCAAAGTATAATATTGTAGATAATGGGCCCAGTCCAGTTCCTATTGCAGTCAGTGGCAAAATTCCCCTTGGCTTCAAAGGGAACAAGACTAACTCTAATGTCTGCAAATGCAAATATAAATTTGCAATATACAGTATAGAGAGTGATACAGTCACCACAAATCAGTTCGGACAGTTACAGCAGAGTGGTAACCATTAAAAAGTCAACAATTGCCAAGAGACTCCATACAATCATCACAGTTATTTTAAGAATAAGAAAACAAACCTGTGGTATTTGAGATACCACAACATAGTAAATGTTGGTAAATGGTGGGTTTTTAAAGGCAACTGCACTAATAGATGGGAATTTACTGGAAAGAAATGAGTATTTTTGCCCTCTATTTTCACTTTTCAACCCCTCTTTGATTTCCTGGAACCCCATTGTATGAGAAAACCAGAAGGTAATCAACAGTGATCTGCATTTTAAGAAGCCAATGACAAGCTTCTTTTGTATGTAGATTTTAGATGAATATTTTGTATTCTGCCATAGTTGGTACATTGAAAGAATAGGGGCATGGTGGAAGGAGCTTATCTGGGAACTATAGAACATTTCATAGTGTGAGTACCAAGATGATAAATTAGTCACTCTCCAAATTAGTTCAGTTCCAGTCCTCCCGTGCCAGTTAGATCAAATTAGATTTGATTCTGCAGAATACATTTTCTTTTGATGTTGATAATTTTCTGATAAATAAGGAGACGCTGGGTTTTGTTATGTAGTCAACAGCCCAATCCAGAACTACCTGGCACTTCTGGAGATCCCATGTGGTGACACGGGGGCCCAGATCCACAAAGGAACTTAGGTGTTGTAACACTGAGGGTTTGTCTACACTGGCACTTCGTTGGCAAAACTTTTGTCGTTCAGGGGTGTTAAAAAAAACATCCCGAATGACAAAAGTTTTACTGAGGAAAAGCGCCGGTGTGAACAGCGCTTTGTCAGCAGGAGCTCTCTGACAAACAGCATCTACACTGCGTGCCTTTTAGTAGCACAGCTGTAGCGGCACAGCCGTGTCGCTAAAAGCCTTGTAGTGTAGCCATAGCTTAAGTGTCCTGGCACCTAACTTTTAGGTGCCTAGAAAATCATAACACCACTGCAACCCACAAAGCCTGAGATAGGTGTCTAGGCTCCCTGTACAATGAATGGGAAGAGATAGCACCTGAGACTGCAATCCACATAGCCAGCATGCTAGGCAAGGAACTGCCCAAGCTAGCCAATGGGACATGCCGACCAGAGGGGGAGTTCTAAGCCCCACCCTCTCTGGAGATAGGTAGCTGAACACCTTTCTTCCCCTGGCTTGTGGACTGAAAGCAGAGCTAGGTGCCCATGTCATGTTCGGGGCCCAAAACAAAATGGTGGGAGGAGGAGCCATTCCCATATAACCTTCAGTTTAGTGGACTGGGTACTCATTCAGGATGTAGAAGACCCCAAGTTCAAGTTACCCCTCCTCCTGAAAGGGAGAAGGAATTTGATTAGGGATCTGCCACCTCTCAGGTGAGTGCTCTAGGCTATAGAATCATTCTAACTCTTTCACTGGCCCAATTAATATTGAATTAGTCAATTATAATTAAAGGTGAACAACTTCAATAGGAGAAACTGAGGGAGACCTACATCAGAATATTCCATAGTCCAACGGTTAGAGCATCACCTGAGAGGTGGCAAATCCCTTTTCAAATCCCTTCTCCCCCTCAGGAGGAAGGGGGAGTTGAACAGGGAGTCTTCCACATCCTGGATGAGGACCCTAACCACTGAGCAATAGATTAAGAGGGGGGGTTCTCCTGCTCCCCTCCATCCCGGCCTGCCAAATACACAAACCAGATAGGCTGCTACTTGGGCAGCCAAATGCCTACCCGTCCTGGTGTGTGAATTGTTTTTGGGATTAGGCAGGAGATAGGCGACCTGCTGCCTATCATGAGGCAGCACCGCGCAAACGCAGGTGCGAGATAAGCATTCAGGCACCTAGAGTGATGCTTCAGTGCACATTATTCAGAGGCAAAGACTTGGTCACCAAGTGAATATTGTTGCCTATGGAGTTAGGCGGCAGCCAAACAGGAATTTTATGGATCACAGTGGTGCCTAAAAATAGGACTTAGGTGCCTACATACCTTTGTGGATCACACCCTAGGTGCCAAGGCCCGGATCAGGAAAGCAATTAAGCACATGCTTAACGTTAATTTAATGCATTCACTTCCATGGGATTTAAGCACGTGCTTATGTGCTTTCATGAACAGAGAGATTCTTTCCTGTATTGGGGCCCAAAAGCTATGTTAGCCTATCTGAGGTTTAAAGAACTGGGGGAACTATCAGAGATCAGTCAGCATGCAGACGAGCAAAGAGTTACCTCTGGCTTCAATCTCTTTTATAGCCTGCAAGAACACAATGGGCCTGCTCCTACTCTCACTTACACAAGTTTTTGACAAGTGTAGCTCCACTGAAGTTACTGGAATACCTGCTGATTTACTCCAACTTACTGAGCTCAGGATCAGGCCCTACACATTTACATTTAAGATGTCAGATAAAGAGAGTTTTCCTGTCATTCCACACACCTTGTCACATTGTGCAAGTGATTTCACATTTTTTCCTCTGTTTTAAGTTCTTCACTGGGACACACCTGATATTTATGTATTAGTTGGTTTTCAGATTGCAAAATATGACCTTCTACGTTTTCAAACGGTCTTAAAAATGTACGCAAAATAAACTAAAGAATAAAGTCCTTTTTGTGGCCATTTGCTTTTGCTTTTTACAGCTAATCTCTACCCATGAATTACTTTCATTATTAGTTCTTTTCTTGCATTTCTATATACAAAAGCAAGCATCTGGAAGAGAGTCTGAAGTGTGTTTTGAAAGCTGGATTGAAAATGCTAGCTAATATAGCTCTTGCTTTAAGTGCTGAGTCATTCAAAACAAGGAAGGTTGCCAACAACCTGATACAATATTAGTCATGTTAACAGCAAAATAGGTAGCTTGGTACCTGTATGCCCTTTGTCATCCTTTGATCTACCTCATCCATCACAGCCAGGTGAGCCATTGTGTCCAGGGTTCCCGGGGACTCCAGGATGCCCTTGAAAGTAGCTGTCCTGTTTTCATGCTGACTACAATAGCCAGCAGTATAATCCAGAGTTTTGTTTTTTGGAGGTTATGTGAATTTGGCTGAACGATTCAAGAAATGAAAATGAAATCGCCCTGATCTGTCTGTCTCCCCCTGTTGTCTCTTGTCTTAAACGTAGACAGTAAGATCTCTGGGGGAGGAACCGTCTTTTTGTTCTGTGCCTGTGCAGCACCTTGCACAATCACTGTTATCAGAGGGAATCACAGGCACTCTGCCCTTTCCAGGATCAGGCCAGTAAATTGCATTTCAGTACAAACCCCACAATCTGAACATAGTTTCTACCTAATCCATACCCTGACTGGGTCAAAAATCAACCTGGTTTCATAGATATTGGTGAAAGTGACCTGAGTTTGAAGTTTGTAATAAAATCCCAATGCAGGTAATTATGATCACCTTTCAAATTTTGTTGAACAACTATCTCACACTTCTAAAAGGAAAGCATAAACATTTCTACTCCTCGACTCCTGCCATACTAGCCCTAAAAGCTCAGTTCTAGGGAATAAAAAAAAAGCTATTAATACCATTAGAATTTAAAATATGGGGAAAGAGAAGTCAATCTTTCTCATTTTAGCATTTTGGGGATGACTAATTCATAACATCTACAGCTGGCAAAATAGTGATATTAAAATAGAACCACTGCACATTCCTAGTATGAGAATAATTAACTGTTCTTTTACTGCCCAGATCTCTATCCTATTCTCATGGAAGGAGTCAACAGCCAGACTCCCACTGACTTCGAAGGGAGCAGGATCTTGGGCCTTTATCTATATATTTAAGATCGACAGTACTAACCTGTGTACACTGGCAAATATAAATTTGAATTCTTTGCTTCAGCTAGATCAGATATTTACTTCTAAAATGCTCTTCATTATGTATTTAATGAGTGGACTATAAGGACTCCAAGAAGTGATTTCCCCACCCAGCCATGCCTTAAAGACAAACAAGCAAAAGGAGTTAAGCCAACGAAAACTGTATTAACATAAAATAAGGCAGTAACATGGAGGAAAATGTAATAATAATGCTACTGTTCAGCCCATTAGACTGAGTGAAAAGATGAACTTCTGAGCCTTGCATGTTTGTGCTACGTGAATATGATCAGTGATATAGTACTCCTTGGTACAGGCTATTTATAGAAATCACCACAAAGTCCTATTTCCCTGAACAGCAGTATGTAAGAATATACAGAACACAGGTAGTTTCCTTGCTCAAAAATCCCCAAGTAAGCCACTCCGTCTAGCCCTGTGCCCAAGGAGACGCTGCCTCCCTGCTGCTACTTACTTTCAGGATCACACACAACTGCCTCTTCTGGCTTAGTCATACAATCTGCAACCAACCCCTGCATTTGGCATCCCTAGGGAACCCTGGAGCTCCACAACTCCCTCTGGGCTTCATGCTCTGACCAGGTGGCTTGGGCCATTAGCCTCACAACACCTGCCTATAGTTACCCTTTCAGGAGAGAGTCTCTCCTGCCTTAATGCCTCTTAATGGAGGCCCACTGCAGTATATTAATAATGAATATCCAATTCATTACCTTACCTCTGAATGCTGCTGGCGTTTGTTGGGTGAGAGCCTGATTTTGCAATGCTTATGCACAGCATTCCAGTTAGACTTTAAAGAGTTAGTCTTTGATTTATTGTTATTATTTATTGGTTGTACTGTAGAACCCAGAGACTGTCATCAATATCAAGCCACCATTGTGCTACACAAATGTACTGTAAAAGAGTCCCTGCCCCAAGTACCTTACAAGCTAAATAGGGTTGAGACTTGACAGCAGGGGAACGTAGGACCCCTAACAAAGGAGTAGGGGGCCAAAAGAGTGACAGTCATGAGACCACAGGGTTGCAAATATTAGCAAGTGTATAATATGGAAGTAACTTAATTTGGTTTGTTTGTTTATAAAGGAGTAAACTGAGCGAACAAGAAATTTTAATTAATAACTAAACAGGCTACCTAACTCATTCAAGCATGAGTCAAAGCTGTCATGCTATTAGAGCAGGGGTAGGCAACCTATGGCACGCATGCTGAAGGCGGCACGCGAGCTGATTTTCAGTGGCACTCACGCTGCCTGGATCCTGGCCACCGGTCTGGGGTCCTCTGCATTTTAATTTAATTTTAAATTAAGTTTCTTAAACATTTTAAAAACCTTATTTACTTTACATACAACAATAGTTTAGTTATATATTATAGACTTATAGAAAGAAACCTTCTAAAAACATTAAAATGTGTTACTGGCACGCGAAACCTTAAATTAGAGTGAATAAATGAAGACTCGGCACACCACTTCTGAAAGGTTGCCAACCCCTGTATTAGAGCATAGTATTGCTGAGTAATCAAGGTGGCCATAACTTGGTGTTTTAATTGTGTTGTATTAACAACTGCTGCTTTCTATGGGCCTGATAGAAGTAGAGTGACTGAGCAGCATTGGGTTCACAGATGCTAAATGTGAGCAATGAAAGACAAAACATATGTGTATTATCAGAAGTTAGTGTGTCACAGGAAATGGACACAATTCACCCCCCTGGTGCAAGAGGCTGGAAATTACTACGCCCAATGGGGATTCACGCACTGCAGGGACATGATGAGTCTTTTCAGTAAACTGAACCAATTAAAAAGCTCAGATCAGAACAGTTGAATAGTTTCAGAAAGGATTGTATCACCATCTTGTGGCAATATCAAATATTACTGGCAATATGCTGCAGTATCTAATGGCTTGATCTACCTTTGATATGACACAGTGTGCCTCAAGAAACATGTTCTGCTTTCTCTGAATGAAGTTCCATGGCCTGTCTTCATGCTAATGAAAAGCAGAAATGGTAGCAAACAACAAAACATCCAGCTTCTCCATACCTATTGGCCAGTTACTTGGCATTTTCCCAAGATCTATTACATTCAGTCTCCTCTCTTTTATACAGTGTTTTGGTTAATAAAATCCATGCATTGATGCTGGCGTAGTGCTCTACTAGGAGTGCTCTATACAGCCATGCTGGAACCCTAACTTGATTTCCACTCCTGCGGCTCCCTTTCTAAGCGAAAAGAGATTGTGAATAGTGTAAAGGCCACGCACTCCACCTCTGAGAGACAAGAGTGCCTTGAATCATTAATAACCACAACCTTGATGGGCTCCCAGACTGAAGCCAGTCCCATTCAGTGAGTTTCAGCTGGAAAAATGAAGGCTGTGATGCAGGAGCCAAATGTTAGACCCAGCTCTTTTGTACAACTGCACCTGCAATAACCCTGAAAAATTGGCCAGAAATAGTTAAATAATAACCAAAAAATCCACCATGTGCACTCAAATGACATAGTTTGGAAAGGGCAGGAGAATACAGTTCTTCGGATTGAATGTTGTTTTAATTTATTTTGTTAGCAACTGACTATAATGCTGATGAGCAGGGACTACATGGGTAACAACCATGAAAGATAAAGATATGATAGAACAGTCTCGGTTGGGATCCCTGACTGCTTCTGTAATAAAATAATAAGAATGCAAGGAACATTTGCATAGGGATTTTACTCTAATTTTGTGAGTGATGCTGAATTTTGTTATACTGATCCAGGACCTACCAGTGCAGAATAGACCATGAGGAGAGAGGAGCTGGCTGCCAGACAATACTCTGTGTATAGTCTCCAGGCCAAGTTCAAGCTGGTTACCTAAACTCTTTCACCCAGTGTCCAAATTCACCTTATCTTAATTTCTGGATCTCCTTCCTCATGTCCTAAAGCCCAGACACAGGGATACTGCACTCCAGCCTCTCTCTCCTGGCCTCAGAGGGGCTTAGTGCTAGTGCTCCTCCTTCCCCCAGCAGCAGTTTCAATATTTTGAAAATCACAAGGAAGGAGAAATCCTTTATAACAGAGGTCGGCAACCTTTCAGAAGTGGTGTGCCGAGTCTTCATTTATTCACTCTAAGGTTTCACGTGCCAGTAATACATTTTAACATTTTTAGAAGGTCTCTTTCTATAAGTCTATAATATATAGCTAAACTATTGTTGTATGTAAAGTAAAAAAGGTTTTTAAAATGTTTAAGAAGCTTCATTTAAAATTAAATTAAAATGCAGAGCCCCCCGGACTGGTGGCCAGGACCCAGGCAGTGTGAGTGCCACTGAAAATCAGCTTGCATGCCGCCTTCGGCACACATGCCATAGGTTGCCTACCCCTGCTTTATAAGTTCTTCACAATGCTCTTTTCTTCCTTGTGAAATGCAGGTGGATTTTTTGGCCTTACAAGGGCAGCTATGCCCCTCTCTTTGCTAACCTCTTTTCTTCTCACACACACAGCTCTGAACTTTGCTGTCACAACACCCCTGTAATGTACAAGTCAGTAACCCTTTACTGGCCTGCAAAGTATCTGTCATGTTATTGGCACTATCTGAATAACACAACACGTTAAAATGAGCTATCAAGTAAAAAACATCCCAGGTCACAAATTACACTCAACGTAAAGACAAAAGAGAAGGAAACAGATAGCAGGTAGATGGAAGGTACAAGTGATCATCAATTTGCATGGGCGCTGTGTTGATCTGCTGAGGGCTTGCTGTGTAAATGATAGATTCTGCCACATACCCATTTCTTTTGTACTGAAACCTTGTGATGGGATGTACCTGGCCCTTTGAGGCCCCCCTGCTGGAGGCCTCATGGTCCCCAGGAAAGGTTTCAATGGCACACGGGAGACCCAGGCTTTGAAAGGCCCATGTAATTCTCATTTTCTGGGACAGCCAAATGGTGGAAGTCAAAGGTTCAATCTTTGAGAGGAAGGGAAAGGAATTTGCAAGCCCTTCCATTCTGCCAACACGAGAGCAGGTCAGAATATTGTTGACATGAAATTTCTGTGACATATGCTCTTTCAAAGACAACATTTTGTGGCGATTTAGTCAAAAATGGTGGGTTTTTTTGTTCTGGGGGAGACTCTCCCTCCACTCTGTAGCCTGCTGGCTAGGGATGTGGGACTTAAGTCCTGTCAGGGACCATGGGTCTTGCACCCTGCCCCACAGGGCTCTTAGGAGTTAGGCAGTCCCAACCTGCCATCCTGGGACCTGCTAAGGGCTGCTAGAGTAACAGAGCTGAACTCTAAGAGGACTGCAGTCCTAGGCTCTGATTGATGGAACCCTGGGGGACTGGATTGGACCCCAGCCTCAATTTAACCCGAACACAAGAACAGAAAGTTGTCCATGCAACTGTGTTCTTCCTGCTCAGGGCGGCTTCCCTGGCAATACCTGTTCCTGCTGCTAATCTCCTGGTAACCTGACCCTGCCTCTTGACAACTGACTCCCATTTTGCCCTCTGACCTGGTATATGACCCGGCCTGACTCCCAAATCCTGCTCCAACCACTAAATCAAACTGCCCACATCCCGGTTGTGATAAGTCCCTTCTGCGCCTGACGCAAAGCAATCTGGGATGAAAAACTCTGCTCTGAATCAGGCACAGCAGGGATTTGAACCTGGGTCTCCTACATCTCTACCCACTGTCCAGCCGACAGCATGCATGTGCATGTGCATGCACACATACACACACCTCCCCTGACATAATTCCATTTTAGAAAAAATGTTCAAAATTTTGTTTTTATTCCCACGTGGAAGGGAAAATTTTGAAACCCCAAAAGTTGCTGCAAAATGAAATTATCCTCTGTTCAGCACCAATTTCATTAGTACCAGAAAATGCTACGCTTATATTTACTTCCAAGGGGTACTGATGGGTACTGTCTGTCAGATGAAAGCTGGCAAGGAGCAATGATGGTAGAGACACATAGTTGGGGCAAAACCAGGTTTAAAATATTTTCTTAATGATGAGGAGTTAAACTCTGGAGTCAAACTTAAGTGGTTTTGTTTAAAATTAGTCCAGGCTATACAGTGTAGGTGGGTACAATCATAAAACCAATAGAGGAGAATGACATTTTTGCTCTAAAGAAATGTGATAATAGAAGTATTTAAAACCCCTGTGAAAAGACAGACAAAAAAAACAGCCACCAACATTTTTTAAAACTGCACAATATAATTTTATAAGACAAACTGCTGAGGAATATCAGTTTTGTCCATTATTTAATTAAAACATACAGTAAGAACAAAATAATGCAAATGTAGGTTTGTACTCATTTCCAGAAAATAGATTCATTTTGACAAACCACGTATTAAGCGGAAATAAATCTTGCAACACACTGATTACTTCAGAACAAGTCACCGCAGTCCTATACATTGTACTTTAGCTGTCAACAGCCAATTCATCTGTTCTGTAGCCATGACACTTGATTTACATGTAACAGCACGCAGATGGTAAGATGCACAAAGCATGTACATAAGATAAAATGTTACAAAAACATTTGTCAAGTAAAATACATATGCAAGTCATCTCTAATATTTACAACAAAGAGTCTTAAATTACAGGATCATTCAGAAGGCATCTCGTAAATACAAATGCCACAGACATAGAAAAAGAAAGGCAGTCAATGAAAGGTAATGTATTTGTTATGGCGAAGAACCTTTGGCTCCCAAACTCCAAGTTATGATCATTTAAAAAATAACTAAATGTGGAATATTCGTGTATTCTATCTTCAAACTCCTTCACTGCTTTTCACTGTTAAAAATCAATGTGAAATTCAGCATGGCAAAAGCCACTTGTAAAACAAACTTATTTTGTAGTAAGATCAAAACTCTTAGATGCAGTTACGTTTTGGCATTATCCCAACCCAAAGGAAACACATTCAAGGAAGATTGTTTTAATGCTTTTCAAGCATAAAAGTCTGAGGTTATCTGCTCAATAGGTAATAAGGAAGGCTCTCCCCAGCCTGTGCTTTACCTACATGAGGCACAGCTGTGCTTAATTGTTGCATTAGAACATGAAATAACTTAAAGCAAAGAAAAATAGGATGACATTAATAGCTATTGAATTCTGATTTTTCTATTGATATGCACATGAAAAGCCATTTCATCAGGAGTCAGACAATGACAAGGTTCTTTTCAAGGTAGATTTTGATAAACTACTACCCATCATATTTAATTTGCAACTGTTCTCCCATGAAGACTCTACAATCATGCTGAACTTCTTGGTTAATAGGTGCTTTGATTGTTGGATAATGTAACTGAGTGTTTAACTATGATATCTTCAAAACCCTGTGATAGAGTCTCCCTTTGGCCCATTTTGTGTCATTCTGCCATCAGGTGAGCACATTCTTAGACCACGGATGAATAAATTAGCCAATAAAATGTACATAAACATGCCATATTGATCTCTCTTTTTCCCACCTGGTGCAAGATTAGGCTGCATGGAAAGACACTCAGAACATGATAAATAAACCAGATGCATATGCAATATACTGTACATAAACCCTATCCTGAATAATCTGCATCATGAAATGCTTTGCCTTGCATCTCATTGAAATGAATGAGGTTCTCCTGAAGAAAGGAACTTGTGCGTCCAAAAGCACATTCAAACCTTTGCCTTCATTTCCAAGGCTAAGCACCGCTATGCAAAGAAGAGTCTTTGTAGGTACTCACATGCCAGTAAGTACATTCAGAAATCTAACTTGCTTTCCAGTATTGCCACAGGGACTAGCTTTTTGGAGTGGAATAGTTTTTATCTAAGACAAGTGTGTAACCATGGATGTGCCTCTCAAACTCTTTAGGCTCATGCCAGCATGACATAGAAAGCTGATGGGGTGGAGGAACAGCTGGGTGTACAATGCAGCCCAGGAGTCTTTTCCTGTGTCTAGGGCAAAACTTTCCAAATGTGTGTGGTGAAGCTAGGACTTCAAAAACGTCTGCTTGCCTACTGCATGTGCGTAACTTGCACTCGTACAGCAGTACTGGGCAACTGTGCAGACAAATGGCTACTGAGAAATACAACATGGCTACCCATTTTAGTGGAAGCACAAGTTTAGGTTCCTTCATCTGGAAATACAGTCCTTATACTTACACTGAACATTCAGAATTATCTTTAAAAAATCTGAAAGGAGTTGGCTTATATTATACAGACATTAAAAAAATACCCAGCAAGTTGTTTCGCTGGCTTTCCCGCACACTTTTTTTCAAATTGGATCATTGCTTAGAAAAAAAATGCCTGTGAATAATTTGATCTGCCATGAAGCAGTTCTCAAACATTTCAAGTTTTCACTCTACTAATAAATAGGAAAAAAGCACAAGCACTGAGGTTTACCACACACTGGACAATTCAGTTTAACATCAGCAGATCTTCCCAGTTGTTGATAAGCTAAGTACAGAAGGCATTTCAAATGTACTGTTCCCAAAATGCATTACTTAAAGTTAAAACCACTTGTTAGTAAAAGGTCATGTATGTATTCATCGAAAATTGAAGTGTAAGTATTTTTCTAACACATCTATTGACAAACATTTATTGGTGTGCATCCTCAGTGAGCTTGTTCATGCTTTGTAGAAGCTACTATGGTTATTAAATTATTTTACACTCCAACTTTTGGACTCTACAAGACTGGCTACAAGTAAAAATAGAAAGAGTAACAACAGCAGAGTTTAAAATAAGGCTTTTTACATTGTCAATAAGATGCCTGCCCATTAACCTATTATTTGTTCTTCACATATTTTTACACATTCATGGCAAAGAAGATTTTGTTCATTTGTCAAAGAACACTCCTGGAACTGCCTTTATTATTAGATAATGCCCCTAATCAGCAGCATAGGAATCTTGTAATGGTAAAATATTTGAAATAAATCCTTTACAAACCAGTGCTGAAACCTATGGAGTCTCTCCTCCATACTTTTTAATAACTCTCATTAGCATTAATGAGAACTACACATGACCACTGGGAAAAATCAGTGCTGCCAGTTCCAAGATCCTATTTTCTCATACTGGATTTTTTTAAAGGTATTCTTTCAAATCAAACCATATATTACAGATCCTGGCCAGAGCTGACCTTAGCGCAAAAAAAAAAAAAGTCATCCTTCTCCAAGAGAAACTGATGGTTCTCAGTCAAAGCCCATTTCTGATTCCACCAACGTCTTTTGTCCATACTGGTGGCATCTTCTCTTTAGCATTTTGAAGTAATAAAAACCCACTGTCACTTCACTGATGTGTAAGAGGCTCAGAATCAAAGACAGCTTCAGGAACTTGATGGAAACTTTTGTTACAGTTCATAAACTTTAAATTCCATCCATATACAACTTTCCACTTAAAGTGTGAATTGTATAACCAAAGCTATCTAGTGCCAGCAGTCTCTCATGGTTCCTTAACTTTGCATTTTTGTATGTTCACATTATCTTCATTTGATTAAAAAAACAAAACACTTTAGTTTTTATACTGAAACACAGGCATACTGGAATTACAGAGAAGAGTGTCACAGGATAAGAGGTGTGGGCAAGAAATGAAATGTATATGGAAGTGCATACTAGAATGCAGTATGGTGCCTTGGTTGGAAAGAATCATTTGGTGGGTCCTTCCTCTTTCCAGTCCTTGTATGCAGTAAATACATAAATCCTTGCAGTCTTTTTTGTTCATTTTCCGTAATATGGAGTCAAAAAATGTCTCTGTTCTAACCTAGAAGATAAGGCCTTGCGGGACTTCCTATTGCCATTTGGCAAATGTAAAGAAACATTGAAAAAGACAGGAAGCGTTAAGGTCCACTAGTTTCTGCATCCACATCAAGTTAAATCAGGTGGGATTCACTCACCTGATCCTGATGGATGACCCCCTGCTCAGTGATCCAAAGGAAGAGAAAAATCTCCTAAAGTCCCTTGCCAATATGCCCTGAGGGAAGAATTCCTTCCTAATCCTAAATTTGGCCATCAATTCACTATTAAGAAAAATGAAATGTTCAAATGACCCTACCATTAATGCAGTGCGACTAAAAAGAGAGATTAGATGCTGCTACCATAGAATAACAGCAATTTGCCTTCGTCACCAAGTGATGTGCTCCTCATTAGCAATGCTTATTGACGCATGTCAACATTTACTTCAGAACCATCTGGATTCTTCATCATAGAACCTCATGAACTTCATTTTCCTTCTAGACAAAGGTGATGTTTTTGGCTCAGGCAGAGCTAGGTCTTTACCTCCAAAAGAGAGAATTCATGGTTTTCCAGCTCAAACATGTTCAACTATGTCCCAAAGGTTCTTCTCAGGAAGACATCTCTCTTTCAGCCAACGTCCTTCCAATGACTTTGGCCCTCTCATTTCTTGAATGGGGTAAGTTTGTTGAAGGTGTGCCAGAAAAGGGATGGCTTTCGTTTGGGTTCTGCCAGGGCAAAGACCTGCTGCTGTGGAATGCTGGTGGGGACAGTGATGTGGCGTTGATGAATAGGATGTAAACTCTGGTGTGGAGGAGGCATGGGACATCCATTATAACTTATACCTACAGAAGGAAAAAATGGAGAATGTGTGAGACAAATGACAAAGTAATCAACCCAGAGAAAATGCACAGAGCATATGGGCCAAATGCAGCTCTCAATGAAGTCTGAAACTTGCCATCATAGTCAATAGGAGTAGATCAGATCTTATCATATCTGACTTTCCACTTTTCTATTTTGGTCTTAATTTTGATTGGGTAAAAGACAAATAATTGTATGACTTCAAATAACTTTACAGTATTGTCCAGAAAATCAGCAGTAGTTTCACAAAACCAGACAACATGTGCAGGAGCATTGTGCTTTTAAGAGGAAAGATGGTTAATGTAGCAGACACTTTGACTTTTTAAGCAATAGCTGGGTAATATTATGTAAAATGTTCTGACTGGTGAAGAAAAGGTACCTTGGAGGGGAAAATAGTTTTCCAAGGTAATGCTCTCTGACTTTGACATTTGAGTATTGAGATCACAATCTCCTGATCAATATTTTACAGCCATTGACCTGAAAATCTGGCCCAATTTGTAACATGCCATTTATTTATATATATTGAGAGATAGATATGTTTACATATTACTATGCATATAAGAATCTATCAACTGCAGATCAAAATTTTGACATTGATGCATTTGAACAAAGACAAAAGTCATGCCTCTTCCAACCTTCCAGGAAAGCATCCTAACCAACTGCCCACTCAGATCCAGGCTGACTCCCAGCTGCTCAACTCATCCACTCAACCCATCAAAAAGTATCCAAATCTCTCTCACACACACACAAAACCATTTAGAATTTTATTTTGAATACAACAAAATCTCGGTCCAAAGAATATTTTAAATCAACAGTGTTGAATTCTAGAGAGAACTTGGGTGGAAGGGTCTGAACATGGGAATGGAACCAGGGATTCCTGAGTTTCTAATCCCATCTAAACCACTGACACCCTCTGTACCTTTAAGCAAATCACTCAACTTCTCTGTTCAGGTCTTCTTTTAGGTGGGGCTAATACTAACTTGCCTGTCTGAAGGCGTTTGTGAGGATTATTTAGTAAATAGTTTATAAAGGGCTTTGAAGTTGAAATACATGCTAAATAAAATCACTTTAGAAAGTCTAACCCCAAAAAAGAGATTTGCAAAGGATCAAAGAGAATGACTATATTTGAATATGTAAGCAGAGTCTGAATGAGCTCTCCCTTGACATCTAGTGATGAGCTGTGGAAGAGGACTTCAGGAGCCGATCTCGTTTGCATGGGCACACCCACCTGGCGTAGGTGCTTAGCATGATGAGATTGCTTGCCAAAATGGTCACTTTTAGCGGTGTGGGATCCCCAGTCTCCTTGTTATTGGGGCAGGAGTAATAAAGGGTTGTTATCCTTATGTGAATCAAGGGCAGGAGAACTGAACTTGACATTTCCCAATCGTGGGACTCATCCTCAACTAAACAGCACTCGCTAGGCAGGGGACATGGGTTCCAAAGCCCAGTGAGTTGAGACAGGATGGGAACAGGTACTTGTCCCTCATTGGGTACGTCTTCACTACCCACTGTATTGGTGGGTAGCAATCAATTTATCCGGGATCGATATATTGCGTCTCGTTAAGACGCGATATATCGATCCCCGAACACGCTCACCGTCGACACCGGAACTCCACCAGAGCGAGAGGCAGTAGCGCAGTCAACAGGGGAGACGCGGTCGTCGATCCCGCGCCGTGTGGACCCCAGGTAATTCGATCTTAGATACTTTGACTTCAGCTACGCTATTTGCGTATCTTAGATCAATCCCCCCCCCCCGACCCCCTCAGTGTAGACCAGCCCATTGTGTGGGCCCTGCCTAAGGGTCCCAGACACCATCAGACTCTTCCTCTCTCTACTGTGTAATAACAGAGCTAATTTAGACTCAATTGAGAGTCTTGTTACATGCTGCAGAGCTGAAATCACTGATACCTAGGTCTAAGTATGAGACCTGCTTTGGGACAGTGTCTCTGATGTAAGAGACTGCCCAGTGTGCACCAGCAGTGAGGCTCCCCCACTAACAGCTGAAGTCACTGACAGCTGTGTTAAGTGGTGGGCCCTGAAGATAGTAGGGCAGCTGGTGGTGAAGCAGGGTGAGTGGGCAGAAGGGTGGCTGGCAGAGAGGGCCGGCGAATGAGTGCCCGAGCAGTGGCATGAGTAAGGTGCCTCCTTACATCCCCCACCTCCACCCAAGGTGGGAGGTGAACACTGCAGATACATCTCTGAACTCTGGGTCTGCACTGTCCAAGGACAACTGTGAGTGGGGTGCAGAGAAGGGATGAGCACATTAAAGGGACTTTGGGGTTGCTGAACTTAAGAACACTGCCCAACGTACTTGGGGGGTGGGTCTTTCGCTCATGGTTTATGTTTATGAGTCCTGTTTGGGATTTTTCCCCAAATTAATGCCGAGTTACCTCCCTCCTTTTATTAAAATTTTTTTTTGCTACACTCAGACTCTGTGCTTGCAAGAGGGAAAGTTTTGCTTTTAGAGGTGCCCCGGGATGATGTGTAATTGTCCCAGGTCACTGGGTGGGGGCTCAAGCCGGTTTTGCATTGTATTGTTGAAAAGGAACCCCTCGATACTGAACCCGGCCCTTGTTGCTGCCAACTGTGACTGGCAGAAGGGTTACAAATATCTCCCATCGTAAGTTCAATACTGAAAAAATAAATGATATATTTAAAACTTACAATAATACTTAAATACTGTACTCACCTTTAATTTTTCCATGCCTTGATTTTCTCGCATTTTGCATGGCTTGTTTCTTTTGATTTTCTGATATTTCCATTCCTGGATTTTAAAGTACATTAGGGTCTCAGTATTAAGATATTGTATCTGCTATTTGATAACAGTAAATTAAAAAACATTTGAGCAAACACTATTTTAAAATGATACTTTAGTGATTTTTAAATAATTCTTAATAGTAATGTACCATATGTTTTTGAGAAATACAAGTCCAGATTTTACTGTTTCACCAGTTTAACTCTGGCATTTCTGAGGAACATTGGCATAACTGAGATACTAATTTGGCCCTTTGAGCACAAATTGATGCCAACCTGTGCTGAAATAATTATCTCCAGCTGGTGGTCATTGGGGATCTGACTAGCTACTTGTCATTTTACAACTCTCGCAGCTAAATTGGTGATGACAAAGCAAACTAACACCTAGGAAGATTATGTGGATTTATGACACTTTGGGGGCCAATGGATCCACAAACCAGTTATTGGATTGCTAGGAGAGATAAATATGAGGCTTGATTCTCTTCTCACTCACACTGGGGTAAACCTGGGATAACTAAATGAAGTCATTAGAGTTATACTGGTGTAAAGCTGGTAAGAGAAAAGCAAGGTTACAGTATGTATAGACATAATCCTGCTTGTATTCTGTAAAAGAAAACTGAACCCATTTTTCTCAGACCAACACTTCAATTTTTGCTGTTCCAGTGTTTACTGTATTGGTGTTATACATTTTATCTATGTTGATCCAAATTTAATAAAAATATATATTTTAAAAGCTGAAAAGCTACTCTAAGAACATGAATGAATTTCAAACTACGTCACTGTTAAACTGGCATTTTACAAAATGTAATGTCTTCAGTTTGAACAAACCAGGTGGTGTTTTCTTTTAACGATGAGCTTGTAGCCTTCTTTGGTGTGTGTTATGCATGTCAGTGTATTGAGGGATATTAAATACACGTGTTTACACACTTACATGGTCAGTGTCATGTTACATGATACCATGGTCTAACCTAACAATTTACTGTAATGTACTAGTGTTAAGTGTCTGAGGGATTTCAGTGTGGCTGAGAGAGGCTGGCTCCCAAAGAGGACAGGCACCTGCTATTAGTGTAGCTAGAGGAATTTTTCCTTACATCTAATGGACTATGTTTTTGGAGTTCAAGTACTGATGTTCTAGTTCCATCTCCCTATGTGTGAGATTCATCTAGTAACTGTGCGTGTTGTTTGCAGCATATGAATGTGTTATATTAGCACAACTAAAAAGGTGTGTGTGGTGCTTCTCGTTCCATTCATATATATACAATGGACTGCAAAGTGCTGCAACCCAAAGCCAGGTGACCCAACAAAGCAGCCACTTGGATTCCATTCTGCTCTTCATTCACACTTTTCAATTATTTTGAATTCCCTGCACTTTTTGGCCTGCATTCATAGAGGAGTTACATCCCTCAGGTGACTGTTTTTAATATAATCTGACCATACTCTTTCAGTTACCAGTTATTCCTTTTATATCATTTGTAATTATTCAATTCTTTTCTCTCTTCCTGGAGACAAAAAAGCAGCCAAAGAAATCAAAAAGTTGCAGCAACAGGAAGCAGACTGTTTTCTTAGATCTACCATTAGTGGTTTTGGAGAAAGAGCTGCTGGTTGTGGCCCATTCCCAGCATGCACTTATAATAGCTCAGAAGAGTTGGATATGGTTTGGGAGGCTCTGACCTCTACTGAAATGTCTTTGAAACAGAACTAGTCATTCAAGCTTTAGAATTTGAAGAGTGATTTATTTGTTCCTTGAATAGTTAAATTAGAGACTTTATCTGAATTCCAGCATGATAAATTACAAAATCAAACAAGATGTTTGAGGTTGAGAATACCAGAGATCTTCCACTGGCTTTGGCTTTGGCTAAAGGATAGTGTTCAACCATGCCAAAAAAGTGAAATTTTAGAAAACAAACTCTCCTGGGTAATGGAGAAGAGATCCAAGCCATAGAGACTTACGAGGGCATATCAACCTAAATAAAGTGGGTTTGGACATTAAATTTGAACCATCCCTTCTATAGCATAAGATACCTATATAACACAGGATACTACTAGGTCTGAACCATGGGCACTGGAACGGGGTGGCCAGGAGGCATGGCCCCATCACTTTTAAAAGTGGGAGGGCTACGGCCTCCCACTTTTTACCTGCCTTAAGGGCAAGCGATGGGGGGTGGGACCTTGGGAGTAAGAGGAGGAGCGGGGGCAGGGCCACATTTTGGGCGCTGGTAACTCCTCTAACTTCTAGGGAGCTTCTGGTGCTCCTGGTCTGAACAAGCATTTGAAATGTCTGATAAAGGATATTTTGCAGCAGCCTACATGTCACACATATATGCAGTGATATATAAAGCTGGATTTATGAATCTAACATTATAGAAAATACATTTTCTTATTATTCTGTTTTTGTTTGCTACACACATCACTAATTAATATTTGTACAATGTTTTGTAGATATAAATCCCTAACTTGCACTCCTTGCATTGAACACAATGGAAATGTTGGAACTACAAGATATGCATGATCAAGCCCTCTATAAATGCTAAGTTATTATTATCATCATCATTATAATGCCCACTGCCAGTTAAATCATGAGATTATACATTCAAATATAAGATGTAAAATAAAAAATTCAGGGATTTGGCTGCTGCAACTTTCCTTAGAATAGTATTCCTCAGTCTTATCAGTCTCAGGCCTTTTTATGTGGCTATTTTTGTTGCAATATTACTTTGGGGGAAAGGTTTAGCACCCAATCACCCATGTGTTTTCTTGTAGGAAGGTTCCAAACCTTCTCTCCCACCATATGAGTTTTGATAAACTGTACATAGCTCTGCCAGCAGCAGAAGGCGCCAGCAGTAGCACTACTGTCTGGGTCTACTGGTCTGCACTTCAAAATCCCCAAAATGTGTAGTATTTGGGCTGACAAGGTGGGTGAAACAACAACTCTTATTGGACTAACTTCTGCTTGGTGAGAGACAAGCTCTCAAATTAAATAAATTAAATTAATGGAGATATCCCATCTCCTAGAACTGGAAGGGACCTTGAAAGTCATTGAGTCCAGCTCCCTGCCTTCACTAGCAGGACCAAGTACTGATTTTGCCCCAGATCCCTAAGTGGCCCCCTCAAGGATTGAACTCACAACCCTGGGTTTAGCAAGCCAATGCTCAAACCACTGAGCTATCCCGCCCCCTTCTTGAAAGCTTAATTTGTTTTTTACCCAACAGAAGTTGGTCCAATAAAAGATTACTTCACCCGCCTTGTTTCTCTAATATTCTGGGACTGACACAGCTACTGCCTAGAAATTTGGGCTGTCCTGCATACTCTCTTGGTTCCATTTTTGTGGATCCCCCCAGAAAGGAACTGCTATAACTGTAAAGAGCTCAGATCCTGGTTCACAAAGCTAAAGTGGAGGAGCTAAGTGAACCCTGGAAAGGTCCAAAGCTGAACAAAGATTATCTGTTGATCTCCTTGTGCCCAGTCCAATTCACAAATCCCCAACTGCAATGTGCCCAGTCATCAGGTTTAATGGAGCTAAGGCCCATCAAGGATTTGGAAATTAAGTGGGGGCCGGGGTAGGGTGGGGATGTTGTATTTTGTTTTGTAAACAAGGGAGCCCTGCTCCTTGATGTGACAGTCTATTCACTATTAGTCCCTCATTTTTTGGACAGCTTGAGCTAGTTTGAGTCGTTTTGTTGTGATAAATGGGATAGATTGTATATTAGTTCCCAAATGCACTACACGGTTCTTCTATTTCCCATCAGCCATCCTGCCCCAATGCACATGTTGTTTTAGAGCTCCGCTGGGCTAATATTCAGTAGTCTGGAGATGGGCCCAATAGTGATAAGTGTGTGCCTGGGCAGTGTGTGCACTCCATTTAGAAGCCGCTTCTGAAAACAATGGCTGGGGTGCCCAACAGGAGTATAGGCTCCCAGTGCACTGCAGAGCAAGGGAGAATAGGGAAACTAATTTGCAAGGTAGTTTGTTTAGTTGTCTCAGCTCCATCTTTTATTTTGGGTACCAGCTACCCTTGGCTACTTGTAACGTATGGTCCATGGGGGAAAGTTAAGGCTGATGTTGGAATATTAGCTGGTAATGTCTTGACTTTTTCTTTCATTACGTGGCGGTGTGTGTGTGTGTGTGTGTGGGGGGGGTGTTGAATGACGACTGATTGCTCATGACATTTATTTTCATGAATAAGGAGAAGGATAACTTTAGAGCCATAAACTATTGAGCTTCTCAGCAGGAGAGAAAATAATGGCCTAACAGAGAACAGCCACTATCTAGAATATATGCACAAGAGGCCTGATTCTTGTTTCAATTACACCGGGGTAAATCAAGAGGAAGTCCATTAAAGTCAATGGGGTTACACTGGTGTGAGATTAGAATCAGCCTTGGCGTACATAGGGATTGCTCCTATTTTATGGGTGGGTTGGGAATATAAGGCTCTTAATCATGTTAAAGTTTTAATGACTTGTGAGTTATGTCATCCAGGAAATCACATTCAGAGCACTTTGGATTTTAATTTGCTGTCATTTAGAGCCATTTCAGTCCTGAAGAATGTTACTTATGAGTTATCCCAGCTCTCCCCATTAAAGATAAATGTCATAACAGAGAGCAGCCATCATACATTACACACACACACTGGGATTTTTCCCCTCCCACCATTGCCTTAGGAATGTAAAAATCAGTTTTATGTTTCCTATCACTACTGTCCTTTTATGTCTCTATTTTCTCAGTGCAATTCTGCTGAATCTTTTACCACTGATTTTATTAAACTGAAGTGGTTATGCCCATTCCCCTCCTCACTTATGACTAGGTCTTTCCTCCTCTATAACTTGGCTGAGTGCTGCTATACTACATAGGTTGCACAGACCTAAGGATACTACTGCCTGGCTTTATAACAAAATGTTCTTTAGAAAAGTGGCTGCCAACCACTATTTCACATATAAAGTGTAGTCCATGCTAAAAAGTTAGATCAACCTAGCTACATAGCTCAGGGGTATGAAAAATCCACACTCCTGAGTGACGCAGTTAAGCCAGCCTAACCCCAGGTGCAGACAGTGGTAGGTCGATGGAAGAATTCTTGCATCAACCTAGCTACCACTTCTCGGGAAGGTGGATTACCTACGCCAATGGGAGAACCCCTCCTGTCAGCATAGGCAGTGTCTCCACTTAAGTGCTGCAGCAGTGCAGCTGCAGTGCTGTTGCTGTGAGTGTTTCACCTGTAGACAAGCCCTCGGTACTGGTATGTCAGGTTATTGTTACTGGCACTCTAAGCTCCCCCTCATGAGGTGAATTCTCTCACATCTCTGAAGCTGTGGAAGGCCTCCAATAACCCAGTAGAACTACATGAAGTTCTACTATGCAGTCAGAGGGAGCTTGAGGGATTCCACCCCACCCCATGCCCTAGAAGTCAGCTACACAGGGTCTCTTGCTGCATACCTACTTTGAGAGGACTAGCGGGAGAGCAGGGGAAGGCCATAGAATGGGGATTAAGGAGCTACTGTTGATCTAGGGCTGCAAAAGTGGCTGTGGGGCAGTTTTACTGCTGCTCCATTACCAAATAGTGAGCATTCCTTCCCCCATCCCTGTAGAATCTCCCTCCACAAAGCTTTTCAGCGGGGGGGACAGATTTTTGCTCTCAATGAGTAGTCTGTGCTGCAGTCAGTACACTCATCCTGCCTCCTGCTCTGTGTGTTATGCAAGATGTAACCCACCACAGAGCCACAGCCACTCCAATCCCCAGTCTCAGGATCACAGAGCTGACACAACTGAATGGGAAACAACAGACACTTGCTTGTATAGCTGAAGTTTGTGTCTAGTAAACAGGCACAGCTGCCCAAAAAGGGTGAGAACCCATTTGCAGAGAGCCAAAAAGGAGAGAAATCCAAACTTTGCCTTTTGATTTAACACCTCCCCCCACACTGTACATCTTTGCACTCACCCATTTCTTTGTCTTCCTGCACTCTTCGCCTTTCATTTTCACATGCCTCCAGCCACCTTTTCTTATCTTCCTGTTTTTTTGCACAAAACAAATGAACCTCTTCTGTTGCTCTATTCACAGTTTTGAAAGCATTCTTGATATTAATGTTAAAGTCCTTATCTTTGCCATCCTCAATGTCCACAAGTTCCATCTCATCCAGATCAATCCGACCTTTGTAATATAACATGTCCCGTCGCAGCAGGTCCTTCTTACAGAACACAAGCTGATGGTCAAAAAGAAAAAAAATCCTCTGCTGGCTTTTGCCTTGCTTTGAGATTTTGGTCAGTTCGCCCGAGTGGATCAGTTCTGAGCTTCTGGCTAAAACATCCTGCCCCTAAAATATATAGAAGTGTATGTGTAATAAATAAATACACAGTTTTAAGCGATCATATTACTAATTATTATTTTTGTAGCATTTGGTCACACGACAGACAGAACTGTACTTCAGTTTCAATGAACTTTTTTAAAATCTATAAATATAAAAAGTAGATCAAGCTGCATTCACAAAAAAATATGGGTTTGATTCTGCTCTCAGTTTCACCAGTGCAAACCAGGCGTAACTTCATTGAAGTCAATGGAGTTATCCGACTGTAAAACTATCAAGAAATCAGAATCGGATATAATGGTCCCAACCTAAAAGAAAATACATTTTGTTCTCTTTCAACATGTCTTTGTAATCTCAAAGATACAAATACGTGTTATAACTGTTGCTCTTTCTGAGTAAGACATAAGATAATCAGTAATAGAGTCATTGCAAATGAAGTATCAGGGGGTAGCCGTGTTAGTCTGTATCTACAAATACAACAAGGAGTCTGGTGGCACCTTAAAGACCTATTTGGGCATAAGCTTTCGTGGGTAAAAACCTCATTTCTTCAGATTGCAAATGAAGCAACTCAACTTTTAACTGACCAAGGACCACATGAAATGTATGCACATAAACTACTACCATAGAAAAAAAGATGCCCCCCAGAAGTCATTTAAGTACATTTTAATCTTAAATATTTCATGAAAATGGAAGAATGATACCTACCTCCCAATCAACAATAGATACTTGCCAGCGTGCAATCTTGTCTATGCTTTCCAGCCTTCGTTTGCGCTCATTGATGAGGCATGCTACATTCTTCATGGCCTCATACGCTGCCTGTATATTGTTATAATCACTGTAAAGTGGAAGCAGATTTCAAAGACATTATATGCACTGGATATAACACATCAACACAGTTTACCTGACTGTCTGAAGCATGATTCTCTACAGTATCAATTTATCCCCCTAACCAGAGTTCTTAAATCTGAAGGGCCTGATTCCCCACTATCTTGCATCTTGTATAGTCATTTACATAATTCTATGCTACCCTATCACCCACTTTGCACAGGTGTAAATTACTACACACAGGGCAAGGAGGTGGAGAATCAAACCTAAGCTGTGATATCCAGGCTCCATTGAAATCAATGGCACCAGTACCATCGACTTCAATGGGGACATGGTTTCACCCAAAAAGTTTATTTATAACAGGAATCCAGTTGTGTAAAACAATGTTCTCTTTAATAATTTATTTTTAGATTATATTTTCCTCTCCCTCCTCCCCAATAGCTGGGAATGAGGCATGGGACTGGCTGGGGTGACTTGATAAGGGGAGCACAGCTTAGTGTCCCAGCTGCTTAGCTGCAATGTTATAGGCGGTGAGAGGAATGTCCTCTTCTGTCTCGTACAAGGATTCTTCTTAGAAAGGCCAATGAAAGGATCCAGAGGATGAGGAGTTGCTGAAATCTACCTAGTTGTTGTGAGTTAAGGGGGTCATGAGCACAAAGAAGGAGAAATGAAAGGAGGAAGGATTGATTCTTCTTCTTCTTCTTCTGCATGGCTTGGGTAGATAGATATAAATTTGTAGTTGTTGCTAAGTTTGATAGCCCATACATTGCCGCAGCAATGAGCTGGTGGAATGTCCTTCAGGCCCCCGGCAAAAGAACAAAGGGGACATTCAGATACGATGTGCTCCATCATTTGTACCTGGTGACCACAGGTGTATGCCTCATTTTCCACTTAAAGAGGGTTTGTTCACATCTCCCATGAGATGTCATGATGCGATTCAATTTGCACCAGTCTTTCCGACATAAATCAAAACCTGGTGGTTCCTCAAGAGGATCAACGACGAGCTGTTTGTTTTGAGCGGTCAAAGTGCTTCATGTGACTCTCCATTGAGCCTCAGCATCAAAGTTGGGTGTAAGGATCTTCATACGGTTCCATAGAGGGTTGCAAGATTTTAATTTTGTCTTTGGTGGGTTTTGCAGGTCACGGTGCAGTGGGATCCTCGAATTTGCATTGACATGAGTAAGAAAGCGAGATGTCTGAGCAGCTCTTCTAATCTGTGGAGGCTGATGTGCAATAGGACCGGGAACCAGTCAACTGGAGTAGATTTGAGCATCCCTGACACTAGGCCCATAGCATTATTGAGTTGAGTGTCAAGGAGTTTAGTGTGACTACTATGAGACCACACTGGTGCACAATATTCAGCTGCAGAATATACCAAGGCAATTGCGTCTGACGAAGTGGGTATTCACCCACAAAAGCTTATGCTCCAATACGTCTGTTAGTCTATAAGGTGCCACAGGACTCTTGGTTGCTTTTTACAAGGCAATTGTTGCAGTTCATAAGGTCCGTGGACTGGAGCCCCATGATGTTCTGGCCAATTTCTGATAAGTGCGACACGAGACCTGACCTTATCGTGGGTGTTCTCGAGGTGTTGTCGAAAGGTCAAACTCCAGTCCAGTGTAACGCCAAGATACTTTGGATTAGCTTCATGGCTGACTCTCTCACTGCAGAACTGCACATCAAGTTTGGTATTAGCCATTTTATTGTTCAGATGGAAAGCAGTTACCATGGGGTTTTTTTTGGATTAGGCATAAATTTCCAGCATTGGAAAGAATCAGCCACTCTGCTAAAATCTCAGGTTAGGGTGCAGCTGGTGGTATGTAGGCTTGTGTGCTGAACAGCTAGGGAAATATCATCCACATACATGAATTTCCTTGACTCTGTTGCTGGTATATCCACGGTATATAAATTAAAAAGTACTGGAGCCCTGAGGGATGCCTGAGTTAAGAGTTCTTGGTCTACTGATCTGGCCATTAAGGTGTACCTTAAAGCAGCGATCCCCAGTCATCGCTGCCAAGAGGCAGATCGTTCACCAGCAGTGAATGATGCGGGAGACCTTGAGAAGGAGGCCCTGTCTCCAGACAGTGTCGTATGCCGAGGACAGATCAACAAGGGCGATTCCCGTCTTCAACTTACGTTGGAATCCTGCCTCAGAGTGGCTAGTAAGTGAAGCTCCTTGGTCACAGAAGTTTGGGAGGAAGACGAGAACCCTCTCGTGGTGCTTCTGTTAAGTGCTGGTGTTTTCTGTGCTCTGTGTTTTGTGCAAATCCACCAACATACCAATATCAATTGGCCACTGGATCATTTTACCGACCTCCCAGTGAACATAGAGGGATTGATTAATGGCTGCTGACAGGCTGGGCCATTGCATGTAAACAGGTGTTTGAGGGGCAAGACTGAGAGCCCTGGCTTCCCCTCCACTTCTGCAAATTTCCTCACGTGCTTCTGCCTTACCACCTGCACACGTCTGGATGTGTGTGTTCACAATCCACTTCCCTCTCCCTATTCAAATACCCACTAGAAACTCTCTTCTGCAACATCACACATAGAAGTGAGAGTAACACTAATAAAATCCCACTAATGTAAGGGTGGACATGCCTTATTGAGTGACCGCACAATCTCATCACTGTTTCCCTTGCCCTTCCTACCTTAGTCCCCCTCTTTTTGGTCTGTCTATTACTGCCACTTGTTGTGTAACAGGTGCCCTTACTGGCAGACTATAAACTCTGTGTCTTTAACTGTTCTATGGTGCCTCTCACACATTTTGGGGCATTTGAAAAATAATAATTAGTTTTGAAATAAAATACTGAAGTTTAAATAAAGAAGAAAGCAGCTCCCACCAATCCAAAACAATCTTCTTTGGCCTGGGTTGTGTGGGTGAGTCTGGTGGAGGAGAGGGAAACAGAAAATGTGGGGGAGGCTGACGATACCCTGCCCTAGCTCTACCCACAGCCCAGTATTACTGGAGGCTCCTGCTCAAAAGTTACCAGCAGTGAAACAGCTACACATACTGGTATTCAAATTGATATCATGGGGCTTCCAAGTTAATCATGGAGATGAATAATGGCAGTAACCATGGAACTGAATGGCAATAATCCATCTCTCTTATTGGGCTAAATCCCGCACTACGTCCACGAGCAAAAATTTCATTGTATTCAATGGGAATTTTTCCAAGGTAAATACTGTAAACGTTGGACTCAGAGAGATTGTTTCAGGCTGGGTCTCTGCAGACTGGTTCATAGATGGAACCTTTTCCTTGCAACCGTAAGGGCTAGAAACACAAACTTTTAAAGATAAAAGCTTAATTTAGTCAGAAAGTAAATCAGCACAGGGAAGTACTTAGAATGGCTATTTATTAATGATTTATGACTTCAATGGAGCTATTTTGATTTATACCAACACATTATCTGGCCTCTAGCTTTTACAATAAACAAAGATATTGGAGGAGCGCAAGAGGATAAAATCACCCTTTAACTTCTGACAGCCCAAGCTTGCACACAGATCTTGCCCATAACAGTGCTTTTCATGAGTTCATAGTAAAGTCAGTTAGTTAGGTCTCAGTTCAGCTTTGTATGGTTTATAGAGTGTATGCCAGAAACTCGGATTCACTGCTTGCTTACTAACTAAATGAATGGACTATAGTTTAAATTACAGTCAGGCAATCCACATACTAAGTGTGCACTAGCACACAGTACACATTAATTCATCACTTAAATTAGCAGTAAATCATAAAGAACAAAATTAAATTCCTAGTTTTAAGTTTCACGACGACAATGCTCCAAGTAGATGTCGGACAGTGGGGGCAAAAGGCAGCAGCCTTGCAGGACTCCAACAGTGGTGCAAAACCACTCTCCTATTGTGCCATTGATGAGAACTGCATGGCTGGTCTTGGCATACGGTTGTTTAATAGTAAGAATAAGCTTACAACCAACATTGTACTTCTTCATGGGTGCCCAGAGGACTTCGTGCCATACTCTGTCAAACTCTTGTCTTGAAGTCAACAAAGACATGGTAGATGTCCTGCTGGTGTTGTAAGTACTTCTCACATAGAAGACGAAGGTTGAAAATCTGTTCTGTGGTACTTCTTCCAGCATGAAAGCCAGCCTGGTCTTCAACAATAATATTCTCCACTTGTGGCTTCAATTTGTTCAATATGACTTTCAACGTCACTTTGCTGGGATGGCTAATTAAGCTTATGGTCTGGTCATTTTGACACAATTGCAGGTTGTTTTTCTTTGGCAGAGTGATGATTAGTGACTGTGTCCATGTGGAGGGCCACTCACCGGTCTGCCGATCTTGTTGCAGATCTTGGTGAGTACATTACTATTTCTCCTCCAAATTTCATCAGTTAGGCTGGGATGTTGTCAATACCTGTAGCTTTTCCATTCTTGAGTGATTTCACAGCTGTCTCCAAGGATGTCCATTGCTGCCTCATTCATTACAGCATTGAAATCGTTGGTCGTTGTTTCTATGTCTTCCTCTAGAGCAAGCAGCGGGGCAAATTTTCCGCTGATCATTGCTTCGAATGACTCTGCAATGTTTCGGACTCTGAGTCTTTCTAAGTCAAACTTGGTTCTGGTGAACTTTGGCCTGACGATTTTCCTTAGCTGCAGCCAAAAATTTAGCATCACAAGGTCACACTGTTGGAGTCCGGCAAGGCTCCTTCTTTCGCCCACACTGTTCAACATCTACTTGGCGTACATAATGACTGATGCCCTAGAAGATCACATATGCACAGTCAGCATTGGGAGGTGAACAATCTCAAATATTCGGTTCACTGATGAAATTGATGGCGTGGCAGGCAGCGAAGATGAACTTGCCAACCTTGTGAAATGATTGGATGAAACCTCTGCAAAATATGGCATGGAAATCAGTGCAGAGAAAACCAAGCTGACGACAAACAAATGTGGTAGGATCAGCTCACATATCACTGCCAGTGGAGGAGAGCTGGAGACAGTGAAACAGTTCAAGTATTCGGGGGCAATCATCACTGATGAAGGATGCAAGGCAGAAATTCGGGCAAGAACTGCGCAAACAACAGCAGCGGCAAAGCTAAAGCCAATTTGAAGGAATAAGAACATCTCCCTGGAATCCAAACTGAAACTGCTGCACGCATTGGTCATCTCTATTTCTCTGTATGCGTGCAAGACATGGACCCTTATGGCAGAACTTGAACGGAAAATACAGGTAGTAGAGACGAGATACTTCCGTAAAATCCTGGGCATCTCCTACTTTGATCAAATCACTAATGAAGAGGTCTGCAACATCATTACCCAATGCACTGGGTCATATGAAGACCTCCTGACAACCGTGAAGAAGCGCAAGCTGAAGTGGTACGGCCATGTAACAAGATCATCTGGCCTATCCAAAATCATCCTCCAAGGGACAGTACAGGGGAAGAGAAGAAGAGGTAGACAGAAGAAGAGATGGATTGACAACATAAAAGAGTGGACAGGAATGGAGTTCGTGGAGACTCAAGCACTGACACACAATCGTCGGGGTGGAGACAATTGGTTGATTGCTCATCAATGATGGTGCGCCAACAACCAATGCAGTTATGGGAGTGATGATGATGGTGATGATGACAACAACAACAATGCACGTAGCTGAATGGTTCTGCGTATATCTCAAGATACAAGCAGGTTTTGCAGACTTTTGTTCTCTTATCTATTATAGAAAAGTCCTATAGAGTATAATGGGGATTAAACCAATATTAAATAGGGCTTTATAGAAATTACTACAATAATATAATTTAACAGAGAATGATAATCTTTCAACAGTTTTTATACCAAACTACAGAATTTATTGAGACTTGTACAGAACTAAAGCAGGTATTTAATCTCTATTAAGTTCTATAGTTTGGTTCAGTATTCTACAGAAAGGAGATCATTCTTTATTAAGCATCACTGACTATGATTCCATGAAGAAGGCAAAGTCTGTTTCTGGTTACCACACAGGCTCTCTTAGGTCTGATAAACTGGGATCCTCATGGTGAGTTGAGAAAATGACAGCCTCAGTTCCTTTGCACATTTAGTGAACAAAATTAAACAGCTCAGACCAAGGGAAGCCCATGGCCTCTTTCCACACAGAGCACAGATAAGCATTTTCTAAGTGAATTTTGTGAGGGCCCTGAAGAAATTTTGAAGGGGAAAATGGGGTGGGGAAGAGACCAAAACAACTGATAAAACCCAAGACAGTTGAATCATGGGCATCATCTGGAAAAATATATACTGGAGAAGGGATTACAGGGTTAAGAAATAGTGCAGTAATAGCAAAGGAAATGGTAATTTCCTGAACTGGCTGCCAGTTAACCAAACACTGAATGAAGATCCATATACGAGTGATTGTCAGATCACCGGAAAATATTCAATGCCACCTTTGGAGGGAGTTTTTCTTGAGTAAGTTCCTATGTCCAGGGTTGTTTTCTACACTGAAGATAGTAACAATGAATGTAGATAGTCTGGGTATCTCTCATTAATATATTTTTCCACAAATATTATTGAGTCTTTCTATACTGGTTGTTTCTTCTTCCACCCCAGCCCCTTTGATTCACTTGTTTCTTGCAGTATCTAACTACATCATTTCATAAGGATTTTTCAGTATCTTTTTTTCCCCTTGAACATATTTTTCAATGTTTAATGCTATTAAACACTTTCAGTTTATGTTGTTCTTCTAAGACCATCTTCACCTCTTCTATCTCTAAGGGTATATCTACACAGCAAAGAAAAACCTGTGGCTGGCTGGGCTCTAGAACGGTGAGGGGTGAGAGGGAAGTCAACACAGCAATGAAACAGCCCTGCAGTCCGAGCCTGGCAAGCCCGAGTTGGCTGGTTCAGGCCAGCTGCAGGTTTTTCTTTGCTGTGTAAACATACCCTGAGACACTTCTCTTTTCTAATTCTTCCCTTTTCTTCCCTACATGTATCCCTTATTCATTTTTCCCTTGGAATCACTAGTATTTTTTCCACTCTGGTTTACAAATCTCTTCTCCTTCCTTCCTTCCTTCCCTCCCTCTCTCTCTCTCTCTCTCTCTCCAGATCAGTCCCCTTATACGCAAGGGTGACTATTTAACATGTATATTGTTTCTGAAATATTTTTTCACATAGTCCCAGGATGATAAACATATTGGGTGAAATTCTGTCCCCACTGAAGTCAGTCACAGCTTTGCCATTGATCTTAAGGAGCCAGGTTGTCATCCACTGCCTGACCAAATCTACCTTAGACTGCTTTAGCAATAAGGTAACATTATGGTCTAAGACAGATCATTTTAATTCTCTCACCCATGCTCTTCGGTAGTATATTTGAGTAACTCTGCAAGCTGAAGAGGGTATTTACAGATCTTCTGAACAGGTGTAAGGAGAAAGCCATCAATAGCAATGTCAATCATCTGCTGAAGCAGGCGACAGGCCTCAAAGAAGTGACGGTATTTGCTCTGTTTCATTAGGTTGGAAAGCTCAAGGCAGGCACTGGGATGATTGTTACAATACTCTGAGTAGATGGCAAAACCTTCTTGCTATAAAGAAAAACCAAAGCTTTAGCTAAAACATTCATCTTAAAAAGACAAAACCAAAAATCGATATTGAAGTTATAAAACACTTCTGGTTTCACTAATTAGACAGTTTGCTAAATTACACCCAAACTGAATAACAATCTATTTAGAAAACACAGAAGAATCTATTCTACAATTGGTAATAGGTAAAACTCCTGTTAATATGGATCGCAGGGGAGTGCATTGACTAGCAGTGCTTGCTGCTTTCTGAAACGGAAAAAACCCAAATATCTCTTTACTCTAACCAGATTTGTGAATTTCAGTCATACGGGGTTCTCTGTGAACACTGAAACAGAGGCCTCCACAAAATCACAATAATCAAACTCACTTTAAGAAGGAGTTTTCTTTGAGGAGCCTTGGAAATTGGAAGCCTCCTATGGTTATTGGTAAAGCTGAGCGAATAATAGATTTTTTGGTTAAAAATAATAATAATGATAATCTAGTTCAATTTGAACCAAACCAATTTTTAAGAGATTTTTTCAAATTGAAAAAATGTCATTTTGAGTTGAGTGAGATGTCTGAATTGACTCTAAACAATTTTTTGTTTAGTTTTTCTATTTGATCATTTTTGGGGTTTCTCCCCCCTCCCACTTTTTTTTTTTTTAAACTGGCCAAACTTGAGAACAGCATTTTCTTTTCAAGCAAAATGACTTTGAAAAAAAAAATGAGTATTTTTCAGCCTGAACTATTCAGTGAGTTCTACCCAAATACATGAATAGTTATTGAACCCTCCAAAATGCATTTTTCGGTGACATTTTTATTTGCCAAACTTTTTTTCTCAAGTCTACTTGGAGGTTATGTAGGTGATTAGCAATGATATGCGACTCTTTTCTCACCTTTATCAATCACCCTGGTTAATATTTTCTCTGGGAAGATACTGGATGTAGTTTTCATAGAACAAAATCAACTCAGATGCCTGCAGTTATGTAAATGTTAACCTGTGATCTGTGTTCCCTGTAAGCTGCGCGCTTGGGCTGCCAGGCAGGAGAGATTTAAGTGCCATTCTGTGCACAGGAGGCAGCATGTGTTCAAGTGCCCCTCCCCCCCATGTTGCCCATCCTACAGCTGCTCCTGGGACCTTCCTGCTGGCTGTGCAGAGCAGAAGGTGGGGGGAGGGAGGAGGGTGCTCTCAGGATGTCACCCTCCCCCCACCCCTGTGCCCCATCTCTGCAGAGCAGGGCAGAGGGGATAGCCTGGCTCAGGAGGACTAGGAGCTGCTGTGGTCTGAATGGTGAGTAGCTGTCGACTGAGTGCCTTTCTTAAAGAGACAGTGCATGGTTTCTGACATTTCCCCAGAAGCCAGCTCACACAGTCTCTGTCTCTCTCTCTCTCTCTCTCTCACACACACACACACACACACACACACACACACACACACAGAGTCTCTGTCTCTCTCTCTCACACACACACACGGAGTCTCTGTCTTTCGCTCTCTCTCACACTCACACACAGAGTCTCTGTCTCTTTCTCACACACCTCCCAACACATACTTGTATTATTATTATTGTTACTTCTTGGTACTTCCTGCAATGCACATATATGCTCTGTAATTTTATTCTTTCAAAGTGTTATTTTAGTGTTTTGACTGGTCTATGCATTTCATAATTTTTATTTCTCTTACACTTAAATTTAATTCTTTGAGTAGTGAGTTCTAAAATGCCTAACCTGTCCTGGCTGGAGTAATTATCCCTCTGGTAACTTTTAAAATATATATATTATATCTAAGTTTTTTGTTTCTACTGGTGGTGCATATAGGCACATACCTCAGTGCACATAAAAAAATGTATTCCACATATGGATGGAAAAAATTAGAGGGAACATTGCCTGTGATTGTTGGAAACAGTCCTGTTCATCTGGGACCTTGGGATCACCATAGCTATGAAAATGGAAAGACTGTTCACTTACAAGGAAAATAGGCCTACTCAAAGGGTGGAGGTGGAAAAAAGGGAGGGATTTTAAATGTTTTCATATAATCAGCACTAACTAAAGTGTCTTCCTCATGGTAGTTTAACATTTACTAATCATATTTTGTTTATTTCATAAGCAAAATGGAGTTAAATGACATACATGTTGAAGAAAGCAGGATCCTATTTCACTTAAATGAGGTTCCTCTTTGTTGTACTGTTTCTCAAGATCTTTCAGAAACTTTCTTTGGAATTTGTAAATATCTTCAATGTTTCCAAAAATGGTGTTTAACTGAGCCGCGGTGAACATTCCTGTATGTTTACGACACTGCCGAATATATCCCTGGAAATAAAACAAGAAAACCTCTTTGTATCAAATCTGAAAGAGATCAAGAGCTTGAAAATGGAGTTTGTACTGAACAAGGCAACTCAATTTGATATTCTACTTTCCTAGGGTTACCATTCGTCCGGATTCCCCCGGACATGTCCAGCTTTTTGAGCTAAAAATAGTGTCCAGGGGGAATTTGTAAATGTCCGGACTCAACCCTT